TCACACCAGTCAGAATAGCTAAAATTAACAAGTCAGGAAACAACAGATGCTGGCGAGGATGCGGAGAAAGGAGAACCATCCTACACTGTTGGTGGGAATGCAAGCTGGTGTAGCCACTCTGGAAAACAGTACAGAGGTTCCTCGAAAAGTTGAAAATAGAACTACCCTACGACCCAGCAATTGCACTACTGGGTATTTACTCCAAAGATACAAATATAGTGATCCGAAGGGGCACGTGCACCCAAATTTTTATAGCAGCAATGTCCACAATAGCCAAACTATGGAAAGAACCTAGATGCATCAACAGAGGAATGGATAAACAAGTGGTATATATATACAGTGGAATACTATGCAGCCATCAAAAGAAATGAAATCTTGCCACTTGCAATGTCATGGATGGAACTAGAGGGTATTATGCTGAGCGAATAAGTCACTCAGAGGAAGACAATTATCATATGATCTCCCTGATATAAGGAAGTTGAGAGGCAAAGTGGGGGGTATGCAGGGTAGGGAAGGAAAAATGAAACAAAATGAGATTGGGAGGGTGACAAACCATAAGAGACTCTTAATCTCACAAAACAAATTGAGGGTTGCTGGGGGGTGGTGGGGTAGGGATAGGGTGGTTGGGTTAAGGCATTGGGGAGGGTATGTGCTATGGTGAGTGCTGTGAAATGTGTAAGCCTGATGATTCACAGACCTGTACCCCTAGGGCAAATAATACATTCTATGTTAGAAAAATAATTTTAAAAGAAATGAGGCATCCATATTGGTAAGGAAGAATTTCAACGGTCACTATTTGCAGATGACATGATACTATATACAGAAAACTAAACACCCCACCAAAAAATTACTAGAACTGATAAATGAATTCAGATAAATCACAGGATACAAAATCAATGTACAGACATCCATTACATTTTTTTTAAGATTTTATTTATTTATTTGAGGGAAAGAGTGAGCGACTGAGAGAGAGAGTATAAACTGGGAGGGAGGCAGAGGGACAGGGAGGTGCAGACTCCCTGCTGAGCAGGGAGCCTGATGTGGGACTTGATCCCAGGACCTTGGGATCATGACCTGAGCTGAAGGCAGATGCTAAACCGACTGAGCCACCCAGGCACCCTGCCATTGCATTTCTATACACTAATAATGAAGCAACAGAAAGTGAAATTAAGAAAACAATCCCATTTATAATAACACCGAAAAATAAAATATCTAGCAATAAACTCAACCAAAGAGGTAAAAGAGCTATATTCTGAAAACTATAAAGCACTGACAAAAGAAATTGAAGAGAACACAAAGAAATGGAAAGATATGCCATGCATAGATTGGAAGCACAGATATTGTTACAATGTCTATACTACCCAAAGCAATCTACAGATTTAATGCAATCTCCATTAAAATACCAACAGCATTTTTCAAAGAACAAACAATCCTAAAATTTATATGGAACCACAAAAGATCCTAAATAGACAAAGTAATTCTGACAAAGCCAAGCCAAGCTGGAGGTATCACAATTCCAGACTTCAACTCATAAAACTTGTAGTAATCAAATCAGTATAGTACGGGCACAATACCAGACAAAAAGATCAATGGAACAGAATAGAAAACCCAGAAATAAACCCACAAACATATGGTCAATAAATCTTTGACAAAAGGGGAAGGAATATCTAATGGGAAAAAGTCTCTTCAACAAACTGTTGGTAAAGCTGGTCAGCTACATGCAAAAGAATGAAACTGGGCCATTTTCTTACACCATACACAAAAATAAACTCAAAATGGATTAAAGACCTAAATGTGAGACCTGAAACCATAATCATCCTGGAAGAGAGCATAAGCAGTAATTTCTCTGACACCAGCCACAGCAACATTTCTCTAGATAGGTCTCCTGAGGCAAGACAAACAGAAGCAAAAGAAAACTATAGGGACTATATTAAAATAAAAAGCTGCTGCACAGTGAAGGAAATAATCAACAAAACTAAAAGGCAACCTACAGAATGGGAGAAGATATTTGTAAATGACGTCTCTGATAAAGGGTTAATATCCAAAATATATAAGAACTGATACAACTCAACATCCAGAAAACAAATAATCCAATTAAAAAATGGGCAGAAGACATGAGTAGACATTTCCCCAAAGGAGACGTCCCGATGGCCAACAGACACATGAGATGCTCAACATCACACATCATCAGGGAAATGCAAATCCAAACTACAGTGAGGTATTACTTCACACCTGTCAGCATGGCTAACATCAAAAACCTAAGAAACAACATGTGTTGGCAAGGATGTGGAGAAAAAGGAACCCTCTTGCACTGTTGGTGGGCATGCAAACTGTGGCAGCCATGGTGAAAGACAGTATGAGGGTTCCTCAAAAATTAAAAATGGAACTACCATATGATCCAGTAATCACATGAGTGGGTACTTACCCCAAAGTACAAAAATACTAATTCAAAGGGATACTTGCACCTCTACATTGATTGCAGCATTATTTACAAAAGCCAAATTATGGAGGCAGCCCAAGTGTCCCCTAATTGATGAATGGATAAAGAACATGTGGTCTATATACACAATGGAATATTATTCAGCCACAGAAAAGAATGAAATCTTACCGTTTGCAATAACGTGGATGGAGCTAGAATAATGTAAAGTGAAATAAGTCAGAGAAAGATAAATACCATGTGACTTCCCTCATCTATGGATTTGAAGACATAAAACAAATAAGCAAAGGAAAAGAGAGAAAGCAAGAAACAGAGACCTGTAGAGAACAAACTGTTGGTTGCCAGAGGGGAGATGGGTGTGGGGACGGGGGAAACAGGTGAAGCAAGTGAGGAGTACACTCAGTGTAAGCACTCAGTGAGGTACAGAAGGGTTAAGTCACTACTAATGTACACCTACAACGAATAGAACACTGTATGTTCACTATGCTGAAATTAAAACACAGAATCTTACTGATAAAGGCAAAGAGTAAGAACTACTTTGCTGAGAGGAAGTATTCAGGACCCTTTAGATTCATGTAGAGCTTTTGTAAACAGGCTCAGTCTTTTATTTTCATTATTATTTATTTTCTTAAAGTAGGCTCTACACCCCATGTGGGACTTGAATTCATGACTCTGAGATCAAGAGTCACATGCTCTACTGACTGAGCCAGCCAGGGTCCCACTGAACGGACAGAGCTTTTAAAATAATTTGGTTCACACCCGAGGCTAGAGTTCCTAGTAGAGCTGATCCAGTGATCTCGGGGATTCTGCTCTGGGAAAACTGGGGTTGCAGGATAGACTGGTGAGGTAAACTGTGGCCTATATGGGGCCTGGTAAATATCAAAAGCTTGTGATAGTTAAACTTCTAGCTATGATTCTTGATGAAATGCATCAGACAAAACGCCATTCTTGGCACGCAGCAGGTGCTCAGTAAACAGTTTTCTGGCTTGAGTAGGTGAACAAATGGAGATTTCCACCAGGTGACACAGAAGTAGTTTAGAACAAGAAAGATTAGAATACAGGCCAAGCCAGAAACTACAGAGATCGCTAGTAAAGTCTTACCTCTAAGAAACATACTCTCTCCAAATCTCAGTGCACTAGAAAAACAACAGAGACAGCAATGACGCCCAAGCCAACCACTTGCCCTTCCATTTTGGGGCTGCTGACAGCAAATTATATGCATTTACTCACTAATTGACAGATAGCATAATAAAATTGGGCAGAACATCCCAAAGTGTCATTTGGGATGCCAGGGATATAAATAGGCACGAGAATTCATACAGCATTATGCAGTCAGATGTGTTTAAAAATTCTAAGTGCTCTCATTTGAATATTGTAGCTGAATTCCAAGGCACTATGTAGTAGAAATGTTACTGAGGCACACGGCCATAAAATGTGACTCAGAACAGAGTAACCTTTTCAAAATTACACGAAAAATGGGCTAGCGGCCATCTGGGAAATGGGAAAACGAAAGAGAAGACCTCTAACTGTGAACATCTTTGTGCGTTCAGTGCACACTCCGTCTGGGACAGTGCTCTCAGGACCGGCGACGAGCTCCTGCTCCGCTGCACCCGACAGATGTCACTATCCCGTCCAAACACACCGCTGAAGGATCCGCGAGAGTGCTGAAGCTCTGCTTTCAACCCTGTTTTTGGGTTACTCAGTTACGGTCAACATCAGCCAAACAGTCATAAACTTTAACCATCGTCAGAAGATTCAGAGAGCAAAAATCATGAGGCAAATATTGAGTAACAGGAATGGGAACAAAAACTAATACAGACTCCCTTCCTTCATCTGTTGCTTGTTAAGGAGCCCAGCTCAGCTGAGTTCTGAAACCTAACTGCTCAAGCTACTCAACAGGATTCGCTGCCGTCATGGGGCTGCAGCCCACTCTCTGGGTGCCAAGAGGGTGGCCACCCATTAAGGAGCTTTCAGCCTCAGACCATGTCCTCTTAGCACTACAGCCCGTTGGTGGGGGAAGTTATTCCTCCGCAGGAAAGCAAACTTCACTGGGCAGGTGTCTGCCCCACCCACAGAGTGAAGCGTTCTGTCCTGGGAGAGCAGGGGGGCAGCCTGTCACCATGGGGACCAGGTGGAGAGAGAAGCAAGGCTGCTGTGGCCAAGGGGAGCTCACGGGGACAGGGCAGTCAGGCTCCTCTTCCTCCCTCCCATCCTGTGCTGAATCACTTAGCAGGCAACTATTCTAGTCCCCCCAAGGTGGCTCCTAAGACATCCAGGTAATCAGAGGAGACGCAGATGAATCAAAAGTCGGGTTTATTTTTCTACCAAATCCTTAATCCATGTTCCAGCCAATGGATGAAGGGTAATCAAGCCTCACATAGACTCTTGGTAAAAACAATTGTAACTTTCTACAGGAAAAAGTTATGGGTCTTGTTTTGAAGTTCCTAGGCATTTGTGAACAGGTGCAAAATTTTCCCCTATGAAACGGTCTGTGCTTTCTTAGGTATTCAAACGTTCTCACCCTGCTGCCTCTTCTGTGCAGACGAGTGAGACCACTCGGCTGCCCGGACAGTCCAACCTTCACGTCGCTCCACGGTCTGCTAACCTAGAACCACCGTAGGGTTTCAGTGCGTAATGCCCCAGAACAGCTGAAAAGACTGGAATTCAATTCTTCAAACTTGCTCTGAGTGCCTACTACTTGCTGGGCACAGGCTAGGCACTGGGCAGTGATTCTGCTGGTTCTGAGAAACACAGGTGGCGCCACAGAGAGTTCTCCCTGCAAGTGGCAGGAGGATGTCTGCTGGGGATTGAGAGAAACAACGTCTCCTCTACTTCTACCACCTGGGGTAGGTATGAAACTCAGGCCCTGGGAACAGATGTTGTCTCTTCTGGCAGGTGCTGCCATGGAAGAACCAAGAGCAGTTTCTAAACAGCCGTGGAATTTGCTCCACAATCCACATAGTGATGGGTCTCCAAGGAGCTCTGGGTCATGTGGCCAATGTATGAAATCTTCACTGAAGTTCTAGGGGGTAAAAAAAAAAAAAAACAAGAAGAATAAATTCGATTTTTGAGACAAAGTAAGAAAAATTGCCTAAATAACTTCTTGCAAGCTCAGGCAACAAAATCCATGGGCCCCAGATGCGTTATCTTCATGGTTATGTAACCAGGAGACCAGAATTTCGTACATTCACAGAAAGGCTATGTCACGAGGTGACTTCCTCAAGAAGCGATTCTAAACTCAGGACAATTTTACCCCACAGGAAACTTCTGGCATTGTCTGGAGCATTCTGGGGTGTTACAACTGAGGGCGAGGGGAAGCAGTGACTGGTCCTGGCACTTAGCAAGCAGAGGCCCGGGATGCTGTAAAATGTCTTTCTGTGTAAAGGACAGTTCCTGACAACAAAGGGCTGTGAATCCTTTGCTGAGGCTGAGAAACCCTGCTCTAGACCCTCACACTTCACACGCCCACAGCAGGTGCTTCTCATCTGTAGATTCCGCGGTCAAGATTCTAAGCCAGACCCTGCAGACCCATGACACAGAGTAATTTGTGTGGACAGAAAGCAAGCTGGCCAAACACTCAGTCCTTACACCTTGAGAAGCGTTTCGATTCTTTACTAGTCTCATTAGGATTCTAAAGGGATCACAAAATTAGACCCAACTTCATGGAGAAAACTCTCTAGCTGCCAACTCCAAATCTGGAGATCTGTGATTTGGACCCTGCATCTAGGGGATACCCAAGGGTCTACTCTATCTGTGCCTGTAAGGCAATGGGTGCCCCCTCTTTGGTTAGGTGCCTCTGCCTTGTGGTTCACACAGCACCTCCTGAGCAGAGGTGGTGAGGTCACACAGCCTGATGGTCTGGACGCAAACACAAAGGCCAAGGGGACAGGGAGAAGAGCCACGTACCGCAGGAAGATCACTATATTGTGCACCAGGATATCGGGCAATGTGCAGAAGAAGCTACCGAACAGCAAACAGGGAGACAGTTTGGTTTAAAAAAAAAAAAAAAGGAAAAAAAGAAAAGAAAAAGAATCATCAGGAGAGTGCTGAGTTAATGGTCAGCCCTACCTGGGGCCCCTGCCCTCCCCTTACCTTCTGACCTAAGTGCTACCAAGGCTCACTAGCTCGGAGTCCCCACAGTGTCCATGCACCCTTCCACGTCACAATACTTCTTGTTTTTTTTTTTTCAGACCCACCACAGAAATGCTGGAGCTTGGAGATAGATGTTTCCGGTGGCTTACCATTCTCTTAGAAATTCCAGCACCTCAGTCGTTTATCCAACAACACATCTTCCAAATAAACCTTAAGATGGCCAAAGCTTAGGGAACCCACAGGCCAAAGCCTGGGACTTAAGGGAGGACTGGCCCCAATCAACGAGTTCACTCTGAATCCCCTTCATCCAGCAGAGAGCACACATATAGAGAACAAACACTGTCCTTACTATACATAAGAAAATGGTCCTCCCATCTCAGCTTTCGCAGTAAAATTCACCTGAAAATAAGACACCAGCATCAGTCTGTGGCCAAGCAGGCCTGCCTGACCCAGAACAGTACTCTTATCAGCAATCCACAGACCTGGGAGCATTCTTCTATCACATATAAAATACTTCCCCAAGATGGTCCCTGACAGACTGTGTCCCTCTAACAATGTCTGCAACCCCTTCCCTTCTGAGGGGCCAACAGACTTCAGACTATAATACTTCCTCTTCTTGATTTATAGTGAATTGTTTGCTCTTACAAATTCTTTTGTTCCCCTAACACTTAAATGCTGATTTTTCTCCTACTTTCTCATAATTACAGGGCATGTCAGATCTTCCTCACCAAACAGTTCCTACCAATGCAAATGAAATGGAAAGCAAAGTCATGAGGCTATAGCATCCCAGAGTCCCCTAACTCCTCCTCCCTGAAGCCCATGGAGCAAGGACCCTAAGAGAACAGCATACCAGTTGCTCGCTCCGAGGTGGAATGAAGGAGACGTTAGTGGTCACATATGTGCCAACCACTGTGTTCATGTACTGAACCTGGCTGGACAGGCTGGTCACTGCCACTGAGTAGAAGTTGGAGTTCCTGATTTTCAGGGTGGCCTGCATCAGGGCAAGTGAGAAAACAAGGATGAGTGTTCCGGGTCCGAAACTTGCAGGTGCATGATCTGGGAAGCAAGGCCCTCCATCTTACCGTGATGGCAAGGATGACAAGGGAGTCCTGCTTATTAAATGTGACTTTCACCACTTTGATGCCGTCATCATCCACAAGGACTGAATGTGGAAACAGGAAGAAAACCACCAAACCAGATGCCAGGAGACAGAGCAGGACAGATAGGAGGACGTACTGCTTGCTGGAATGACACAGCACATAACCAGATGGGCAGTCAGATATCACGGTCCAGTTAGTTAAGATAAAATGCAAAACCAGGAATGAGGGGAAGGGGAAAGTACAAAGAGCCAGGAACCACAAACCAGGGAGGAATGAGTGGAGTGGGGAGAAGCCTTTAAAAACCCATTTGAATGCTGTCTGTCATCTGGGGAGAGAAGCTGAAGAGAGGAGGTCTGGGGACAGAAACATTTCTTCACCTCCCATGATACCCCTGTTTTCCAAAACCTTCCACGTCAACTCTTTCACTTGGCCCTTGGAATGTTTCTAGTAGTTTCCATAACCCCAGACTGTGATGGGGCAGAGATCTCTTGCTTGAGCACATAGTATTAAAGGAAATGGAGAATTTACAAGAATAGATAATAAAAGTTTTCAAAAAGTTAGCTGGTACTCATAAATATACGGGACTAGGGAAAGAAGGACAGAAGTAAGTATTGGAAGGTGAGAGGCATGAAACTCACGTTCTCTGAGGGCGCAGTCTCTGATCACTGTGTGGGATCAAAGCCACCAACTCGTTTACTTGTTCTAGGAAAGAACAGAACAATTATTTTCGTATAAAAATCCCACGCGCTGACTCCACTCTCCTTTATGTCGCACATCAACCTGCCGCCACACATGCTTGCCTGGAATTAGACATTTCTGTGATACAGGTTTCACATTTTGGGCCTAAGGAACAAGAAACAAATCTAGAGAGTGTGCCATAAATTGCAAAACATTAATCCTACCAGGACAGTGACATGGAGGTTGAGCAATCTAGGTTCCTATTCTAGTATTACCCCATGGCCCGGAGCTGCCGAATGGCCTTGGGGAAGTAGTCGTTCCCTCCCTAGGCCACTGTCTCCTCACGTGTCACAGGAAGGCATGTCCTATGAAGTGGATAGTTTCTAGGGTTCTTACCAGCTGCAAACACCTGTGACTCTCCATCTAAAGTGTTAAGGCTTTCTGAGGACCAACTTAGTGACAGATGATCTTGTCCTTAGTGGAGGCGCCACTCCTGAGCATCTGTTTTTCTCTCCCCACTTGAAATATTTCCAGACCTTAGGCTGTTAATGATTTACTACCTACTTCCTTGAAAAGAAGCTTCCAAGATGGTTCCCCTACAAAGCTGTGCCAGGCCTTATGAGTGAGAGCAATAAAGAGATGGGACTGTCAACAGATCCCACAGCGTAAAGCAAACTGAATGTTCCAAAGCAAGGAAACAAAGAACAAAAGAGTGGAAGTGAAGAAGGGCTTTCAGATATAAGGAGGCCAACAGAAGTTGTGGAACTTACCCAAATTTATCAAGTCAGCTCAGTTGGCTCCTGTCCAGGGCACTGTCTCTGACTATGACTGCCTAGAAGCAAAGCTCTGCCTGGGAGATGGAAGAAGCCCTGTGCGTACCTTGGGAATCCTTCCCATGATTACCAAAGCCTCTCACCTGTGGGAATGTAGCCGGTCCCCTGGCACGTGAGACAGGTGATGCTATCTCGACCGGTGAACTCCACATATGGGAACTGAGCAATGGCTTCTTCCTGCTCCCTGTCGGCCAGCAGATCCTCCCTGTTCTCTTTCTTTCGCTTGCAGTAAGAGGGGCGAGCAGAGGTGGAATGCTGGGACCCCATGGCCGGGATGTGCCACTTGTGTCATGTCCTAGGACATAGAGAGGCAAGCGAATGCAGGTTAGTGGCCCCACCGAGCCAGGAGAGAGCAAACTGCTTCTTTGTCTGAGAAAAGTGAAAACACAAAAATGACCAAACTGCCGTCGGTGATTTCAAACACCTTCAAACACCTGCGCGTTTTCTACCAGGATCATCATTTTGTAGCAATGCTCCCCACCTCCCTCCCACCTGCTACATAAAGCCAGAGGAACAGCAGCCCCTCCACCAACCTGCCCAGCTCCCCACAGCCCGGGGACTCGGCGCACCCCAGCTCCCACCAGGTCCCAGCCTCGCCCCTTCCCGTCCACTATTTGCAAACTCTGTGCTCTCTCCTCAAGAAAACCCTCCCGGACAAACAACAAGCCTCAAATCAACAACAGGCCTGGAGCTCCCCATCCCCCTCCACTCCCAGCCCCGGGAGGCGGGCTCAGGTCACACCCCCTGACAGAGTGACGCTCCGGGCCCACCAGAGTCGCCTAGGCGTGAGCGAACGCCGACGTCCCCAGACCTGCAGGGCGCCGACTCCTGGCAGCTCCTCTCCGGGCCGCACCCGCAGCTACCTGCCCGCTCCGGCAGGTTTACTTGCCTCTTCAGTCCTCCCAGCTGCCCTCACTCGCTGCGCACGCGCAGGAAGACCAGCCGCGCCGGGAAGGAGGTGGAGAGGGGGGGCAGGGAGGGGGAAACGCCGGCTTACGCTCGCGCATGCGCTGTTCGGTACCCAGATGGCAGAGGGCGGTGGAGAGCGGCTCCCGGAGCAGACTGGGAGAGAGGCAGACGCTCCGCTTCAGCAGAAAGGCTGGGAGGTGCCTGAATCAAGTGTCCGGAGGCGCGTTGCCTCTGCCTGGGGACAAGGAAGGAGCCTGCAGCTGCCAAAGCCATTCTCAACTGCCGTTTGAGCACAGGGGCAGTGTGGACGCTGAGGGTGTAAAGATGCTTAGAAGACATGGAAACTGCCCTGCCGCTGCTTTTAGGCGTCGCTTTTGCTAGTCGTCCACACACACACGAAGGCATGCACGGAAGGAGTTAGAGAACACTTTTAAAAGGGTGGGTTTCCCCCCTGCTTGTGCTCTTTTTCTCTCTCTCTTTGTCAAATAAATAAAATCTTTAAAAAAATAAAAGGGTGGGTTTCTTTGTACGGACTACCAGGTTAAGCTTAGCCTACAGCAGAGGGCAGACATTAAGCAGGTGACATTGCTTAAGATGATGCTGGAGAGAGGAGAGATTCTGAACTGAGCGGCAATGGGGAGTGAAGCTGGCCACCTCCTAGGTCCGCCACATCTGTATCTCTTTCCTCATTATGGGGAAGGCTGTGTGCTCCTGTTGTCTAGCCCCCTGCCCAGCTGCTGGTCACAGTCGGTCCACTGAGCCTTTAGAGTAAGAAAAGCTGAAAAAGACATAGTGAATGACACTTGTGAAAGACCATAAGGCCGACTTTACTAAAGGGGGCCATGGCAATGGGTATAAGGACAGACGCAATTCGGACTTGCTGTGGGGGGGAAGGGATTGGGCACAGCTCTGACTGCAACATGGGCAAGTAGGAATTCAGAGCCAAGGAGCAGAGTGGGGGTCAGTGCATGGAAAATTACTAAGGGGAAACTTTAAGGGTAAGAAGAATTCTGGCTAAACTGAGCTGAGAGGATTCTTGCTGAAGACAGGCCAGAGTGATCAGACATCACCTGGGGGATGGTGGAATGATCAGGTATCCAGAGTTGGGAGTTCTTGCTAAAACTGGATTCTGCAATAAGCACACAGATGGGCCTATGAGAAGTTTTAGGAACCTGACTAAAGTTTGGTCAAGCAAAGAATGTTTATCAGAAGCAACAAGGAGCCATTGTTCCTCTTTTTCTACCTCCCAGCCTGTACCTTCTCTTTCCTGAAATCTGGTCTTCACCTCTCTCTTTGCAAGCTCTATACTAACTTATATTCTTTATTTATACAAATCTTGTTTTGTTTGGGACAACAATATTCTCAGTTAAAAATACATCTCTCTGCCTTTCTTGCCATGTGATTCAGTTTGGGCTGAATGAGATATAAGCAGAGGTTGTGTGGCACTCCCTGGAAAGCTCCTTAAAAGGGGCAGAGACTCAACTGGTCCTTCAACCGTCCTCTTCCTGTCTGTAATTTGGACTTAATATTGGAGAAAGGGCAGCCGTCTTGTGACCACAAGGCAAGAAATGCATGTTACAGGAGGCTGGGTAGGAGCATGCAAGGAGCCTCGGTCCCTGTGGCATTTGGAGCCATATTCAGGCCCTGGACTACCTATCTTATGACTTCTTATTACATGAGAAAGATAACCACTCCCCACCAAAATTGTGTTTTGTGGCGTGTCTCTCACTGTGGGATTTAATCTTAAAAGATACAGACACAGGGGCGCCTGGGTGGCTCAGTGGGTTAAAGCCTCTGCCTTTGGCTCAGGTCCTGATCCTGGGGTCCTGGAATCGAGCCCCGTGTCAGGCTCTCTGCCCAGCGGGGATCCTGCTTCCTCCTCTCTGTCTGCCTCTCTGCCTACTTGTGATCTCTCTCTGTCAAATAAATAAATAAAGTCTTGAAAAAAAATTTAAAAAAAGACACAGATACAGACCTAGCTAAGGGTAAAGCCTGTGATGGCTTTAATCACACACTACAGAGGCCATGCTTAGGTTTCTATCCTCTTCTAACATCTGCCCTTAGTAGGAGGGAGGCCTCTTTCCTGTGTGAGGCCTTTCTTCCAAGTTCAGCTTTCTTGTCTGAGGACCCACTTCTGTTAGGGAATTTACCTGGGGAATCTGGGGAATGAGCCCACCCTCTTGTCACCTGGTGTTGCCTCACCTTGAGGCCTCTGTTGGAACCCTGCCAAGGACTGATGTCCACACTACAGATGGACATTACAGAAGGTCCCGGCTGTCCCAGGAGCAGGGACACTGAAGAGGCAGCAGCCTGATTTACACCAGCTTAAGAGGAGGGGGAGACCAGAGGAAGATGGAGGGCTGTGGGATGCTTCAAAAAGAGAAGGAAATGGGCCAAGCACTTGGGCCTGTGGTGAGGGTAGAAAGGACTTTGGGTGGGTAGGGGCTGTGAAGGGGCCCTGGGGACTTAATCAGCAGAACCCCTGAGACTTTCTCACAGTCAGCTTCCAAAGTGGGTCTGGTACAGATAGACTATGCTCTCCATTGTGGCTCTCGTGTCTCCTTGTCTCCCCAGCACCCAGCTCAACACCTGCATAGTAGGCCGTCAGTAAATGTTTGCGGAATGGCTCAGCCTGAGGGAGTAATCCCGGCATCCGCCCGCCCGTGCCATCCGGGAGGCGGTTTTAATTGGGCAGCACATTCCTGAGGAGACACCCATCACTTCTCACCTTTGCCTGCCTTCCAGCTTTGTCTCACCATCCTGGTTATGAGCCGTGAGGTTACATGAGCAGACATGAGCTCACTGGGGCGCTCCGGGTGGGCCAGGGCAGAGCAGGGCCAGCTGGGGATCCCCACACGCCCAGCCTCTTCCATGTCTCCATGTGCTCTAGGTAGCCCTGGCTGCCCATGCCGAGAGCAGGAGAGGCCCCAAGAGAGAGGGTGAGGCAGGGGACCGGCTCTGCTCCGCTCCGAACCCCTCCCCTGGGCCAGGACCGTACAGGGGAGCGTTTGGGACTCTGGCAGCCTCCCTCTGCACTGACACAGAGGCTGAGGGTGTAGAGCTGGGAGCACTTCATTCTGCTCCCTTTATTCCACACACAAGTGAGCTTGCTTGAAGTTAAGGTATGTGAAAGAGTCGGCATTTGCTTCTTTGAGCCCAGGAAGCAGGCCACCACCATGTCACGCTCTCTCATCCTCGTACAGTGCGCCACAGGCCTCTGGTTTGGGGGATGTGACTGCTTCCCTGGGGCCCAGGTGTCTTTGCCTGGGCTGGCAGAGCTGGTGCCCAGCGACCAGCAGGCCTAAGGCATAGTGCAGCCGTTCCCTACGGCGATGCCAGGGCCGGGGTCTCAAATCCTCACAGACCCTCCAGCAGGCTCCCTTTCCCTCATCTCTCCCTGCTGTCCCCATGGTTCCCCCTCTCCTCAGTGACACTTCAAGAACACCCGGTGTCATCTCTCCAGTGAGCTGAGCCCTTGAATAAAGACAGTAGAGAGCATTTGCTTAAAACAATCCTTTAACAATGATTTCTACCCCACAGACATCAAAGAAACCCAAAGGACCATTATCTCTTTGGAAGGCAGGACTGTCATACAGGGAAAACCAAAACACAAGCTAACTCTTAAAACAAACACCAGAACCAGATTCTCTTGTAGGGGGACCTGCAGGCTGAGGAGACAAATTCCTGGCCCCTGAACACTGGTAACAACTGTTCCAGGGCCCTCGTGATGGCTGTGGGGGCCTTGGGCCTTAGTAAATGCCAAGAGCCCCTCCGCTGCTGACAACCTCCGAGGAATACGCACGGTGAGTCAAACCTGTGTGTCCGCTATACACACGTGATATACCCCGTGCGGCTTCCACCCCTACAGGACTTGTCGCCCCTGGGCACCCCCACCTGGAAGTTCTGGACCTCCTGAATGGGAACTGTGTAGGGAGCTGACACCCGCAGGCCAGGTGTGGGAGGAAGTTGCCTAGGCTGGGGAACTGGAGAAGCCAAGGGTGGGCGTGCTGGATTTGAACTCCTCAGTGAGTGTTGGATGGAACCTGAGCAGGAGTCAGCCAGTTTTCCTCATCAACCTCCCCCAGCACTGCCTCTCTCCCCGCCTGTGCCAGCCTCAGGGACAAACCTCGTGGCCAAACAGATACACACCTGGCTGCTGTCAGAAACTGCAGTTAAGCTCTTATCTGCGTTCGCAGCTGTGCTGGGCATTGTGCCTCCGTCCCCAGTAGCCTCTGTCTGAGACCCACCGCACGCATGGAAGAAGGACAAGCTGTGAATGAGGGGACACCCCGTGCAAAGCAGGCAGTGAAAACTCTGGGTGAGGAGTGAGGGAGCCACAGGGCAGAGCCTGAGGATGGACGGTAGAGGTGAGCTTCAAGAGGATTTGAGAAAAACAAAATCCACACTCGACCCCATCCCAAAAGTCAACTGTCCGAAAGAGCACTTGGTGTCTTCTCCTCTCCATCTACAGTCAGGCCTTGTCTCATCTTTTGCCAAGGCAATACAACAACCTTCTTAGTAGGTTTCCCGGCTTAAAAAGAGTGATGGTACCCTGAGTATCTGTTACGTGTCAGGCACTGTAGTAGGCACTAGCTTCACGTTCAGTTCTCTCAGCAGCTCTGCAGACTAGGTATCAACACCCCCATTTAATGGACGGGGCCTCCGTAGCTCAGAGAGGCGAAGCATCCTGCCCAGTAACACAGCTGTATTCCCACAGCTGGAATACAAACGCCACTCCATCTCCGGCCACCGGCCCTTCCGGCTCCTCCTCCATGCTCTGTTGAGAGAGTGGTCTAGTCTTGTGGTCCTTTAATAAAATGCAAACGGAAATCCTATCACTCTGCTTCTTAAAACCTTCAGAGGCTCCTCACAGGCTTCAGGAAAAGACCCAAACCCCTTCCAAAGCTTGCAAGTCCCTTTCCACTCTCCTGCTGCTTTCTTCCCGCTCACCACACACTCCAACCACAGAAGACGATTTGCAACTCCCTCAACACGCTGGCTGTGTATGTGCTTGCTC